GAACAAAGGGTTTTCTTGTCAAGTTGCGTTCACTCCTCCATATACTCAAAAAACATTAAATGAACGCAAATCATATTGGGAGAAAGCTAAAAAGCTTAGTCAGGGAAACATGGTTTGTCTTCTCTGGCCAAATGAAGATATACATAGGGGGGGGAAATCCGTCAACGTCACAAAATATACCATCTATTTTGGCACGATCGCCCGAAGGGATGACAAGATGCTATCAGAAGAAAAAGATGTCGCAAAAATCAACATTAATTTTATTAATCTTTCCATATACTCGGTCGCTATGAGAGATATTTCAAACAGAAATGCTAATGGTAAAATGAACAGGCATTGTTTTATGGTTGAATCGACGGACCTTCTTTTTGAAAGTTATAAGAATATATTGAAGACACTTCAAGAATCCCAACCAGAATCTCTTCCATTTGGTAAATACCTCGCTCCACGAATAGATGGAGACGTGTCTGACGTGGTCGCTAATGTCGACCCGCCAATCTATTCCATAGCTCCTGGCTTCAGATTTGATGTAAAATTTTTGATTCTAGTTGTTAATAATTTTTTATCATATGTTTGTGTCTTGATCATGCCATTTTTTCAACAGCTCTCGATTTTAATCGATGATAAAAGCATGGAATTGCGCTTGGATACCGGAGACGCACAATCCAAAAACGAGGCCATCGAATGCCTGGAAAAACATAGCAAACTTGACAAAACTCAATGTAATGCACTTTTTTCTTTGATGCGAGAACTCCCTAGATCTTGGCATTTACTCAATGATCTTTATGCTACAATAGCTCAAGCGCTTGTCTCAGCTCTAAGTCGGGAAATTGCATTGATCGAAGGTAAGGAGGACGCAATAATGGGATTGCTAATGGATATTTCCCTGAATATTAAAATGTAATTACGCGTTAGGACCTCCTGGAACGGGAAAATCTTATATCGGTGTTCAAATTTGTGCATCATTTTCGTCCGATTCCCTAAGAAAGTCCATAAAACTGTTGATGCTTATACGAAAAGCGCCAAGCATATCTTCCCTGAGCAAACGAAACTGTCTGTCGAGAAGACGAGCAGTACCTTTAGGAAGATGATGTATAGAATCGTCCTCAATAATACTAGGTAAAAACGGTTCACGTATGCATAATATTTCTCGCTTAGTAGGAACAACAGATATTTCAGATATTTTGCTGAAATCATTATCGTGACGTCGACCACCCGGTGAAAGTTCACCTTTTAAATGAATAAAATTATGAAATTGGTTTGTTGTACACTATATAATGGTCACTCATGTGTATATATAAAATCAAACCTGGGGGATCGTAATCTCTTCGTAAAACTTCTAATCGAGATATATCATTATAATAACCAATTTGTGAATTATGTTGTGTTCTTTTAATTTTCGGTATTGGAGAGATGTCATTGTTTCTCCCTAACGCATTATTCATACGATCGATTTCTTTATTCAAAATCATAAAGAAATATTTTCGACGCTCCGCG